TCAATATTTTTGGACCTATCTTTATTTGCTTAGTCTGATAACTTTTGCTAATCTGAAAAAGAAAGACTATAATTGATCTCTGCTTTTGAAAGCCTCTTGGGACTTGGGATAAAATCCTTTGAAAGGACCCTGAAACCAAAATGGAAGTAACCTATCAAGATCAGAGACTCTGATAAACCACCTTTGTGTCTGTACTGGTCCCATGCCCTGGTTTTACTGACACAAGATGACGGAAGTGTCAGTTCATGCCCAAGTATTAAAAAGCTTGGTAGCGGCCATATTTTGGGCCTGGAGAAAGACAACTGCCATGTGAGAACCCAGTTACCCTGAGAACTGAGACCTAATCAAGGAAATGGTGACTTGTGCTCAGCTGGGTGTGAGTATTGCTATGGACCTGTGACTGCTGTATAGTGCTATTTCCCCCTTTTTGCTTCATCTTCTTTTTAATGGAAGTATCTATAGTGATGTCCTCTTTCCCTCCTTACCTTGTGTGTTGGGCTTGTGAAGAGCAGATAACTTATCTCTGATTCAAAACTCCGCAGATAAAGAGGAGCAACACTTGAGAAACGTCATTCATACGGCTCCTGTTTTAGATGATAAGATTAAACTACTGTATGTTCTGTGTTTGACGACAGTGGCAGGGAACTTGAAGATCTAAGAAGTGGCCTAGCAAATATTAAACAAAATAAAAAGACAAATATAAAATCTACAATTAAAAAAATAAAATAATCAAATGCAAGAGATTAAGGAACAGGCTTAAAATAGATGAAATAATGAAGTGAGAAATGGAAGAAACTTACTTATAACAAACAATGGAAGGACAAAAGACAGGAAATACAACAGAAAGGGTTGCAGTGAGAATATTTTCTATGTATTTCAGATAGGAATTACAGTTCTTGGAGGAAGAAAGAAAAGGGATAGAAACAATATTTTAGCAAATGATAACTGCAACTTTCCCAAAACTGCTGAAAAGCTATTTAAAAGTAGTAAGTAATGTGAAATCACAGGAGATTCATTCCACTGGGTGTTCTAGCTCTTTTTTTAATTTATTTTATTTTTTTTGGGGGGGGGTGTGTGTGTACTGTCAAATCAGATCTGACTGGTACCGGAGGAGATTGCCACTCCTTCTCCAGCAGGACATCTGGAGGATTCGAACTGCACGCCTCTGCGATTGCAGTGCAGCTTCTTGCCACTAGGCCACCAGAGCTCCCTAGCTCTTAAAATAGTACAACCTCCATGCACCAAGCTATCTTTGAAAGGATCCTGAAACAAAAAATGGACTTTGCTGCATACAAGTTCTATTACTTTCTAACTGTGCAGGTTTCTCAGCCAGTAAGTAGAGTTTGTTAATACGCTTAGCTAGTAACTAAAAAGTTGAAGGTTCAAGCCCACCCAGAAGTGCCTCAGAAGAAAGGTGTGGTGATTTAATTTTGAAAAATCAGCCATTGCAGTTCAACTCTGTAACACATAGCAGTGTGATGTGCCAGAAATTACTTAATAATAACTTTTTTCTAAAAAAAGCAACTAATAAAAATACTGACTTTTATAATGAGTTAAGTGATACAGTATGAACACTTTAAAAATTAAATGTAGTACTTTAAAAACCAGGTACAGTTTGAGCAGTGTCAAGTAAACCCAAGCTCACACAAGAGCATACACAATGATTCTCAGGACTGGCCATCTAACTTGTACAAAAGGAAAACTTGGGGGCTCTTGGTGAAGAATTAAGAATTTCAAGATGGTGACTGGACAGCATTAAACCAAGCACGCTTTCCTTCCAGGTGTGGGACCACATAGGTCACCTGCCCGTGACACTAGCTCAGAAACCAGACTGTGTAAAGAACTACTGTTTCAGGAAATGGCTGCTCATCCCACACCTAGGTGTCTATAGCCCACGTCATCTTTGAATTCTGAAGGGCAGCAATGTTTAGGGAAAATGCAAGCACACAAGTTTCTAAATGCCAGGCAGAGCAAGTGCAGTGACCGGGAGTGGTTCTCTGAAGGAGTGGGTGGGGCTAGCCGGACTGCCATCGGACTGTGGAACTGACTGTTCCCCACGGTCTTCAGCCTAGGAACAGGGAGAAAAGGCTGCAGCTGTATCGACAAGGCCTGTTGTTGTTAGCTGGGGTGTGTTACAACACAGCCTGGCAGCCTCCTGGCCTTTCTGTCTTCCTCCTGAACGAGCCTGGTCCCTAAGCACGTGACACAGCCACTCAGCCCCGCAGATTGGTCCTCGGTGTTCCCTCAACACCAGGCTTTTCCACGTCTGTCTGCGTTTTGCTCATACTGTCCCTTCTCGGCTTCGGAGTTCTTGGGAGGTGCTTCCTTCTCTCACTCCTCTATCTCCGTCTCTGTCTGGCAAATAACTACCTATTAAGTCTCAGCCCCAGTGTCACTTCCTCAGTGAAGTCTTCCCTGCCTCCTCCAGGGAGAGCTGACTCCTCCTCCTGGGGCCCCTCCACTGTGTCCTAGTCAGACTTCTATCACAGTCCCTGTAATATAAAAGAGTCGGATATGTTCTGTGGATGCCATTATGTTCTAGGCTCAAGCCCTCAGCTGGGGCAATGCCTTCTCACCGCTGTGTACCCTGCACATACAATGCTTAATACCTGCTAATATAAAGCATCCATACCACCCACGGCCATTGAATCAACTGCAACTAGTAGTGATCCCATAGGACAGGGAAGAACTGGAAATCTTCAAATAAGCAGATTGCCATGTGTTTCTCCTGTGGAGTGGCTGGTGGATTTGAACTGCTGACATTTTTTTGTTAGCAGCTTATCTACCACATCACCAGGATGCCTTTAAAAAAAAATCACTCCAGGTACCTGGCTTAGTGATAGAGTTGCACTGCCAACCCAAAGGTAAGCAGTTCGAAGTCACTAGCTGCTCCTTGTGGCATAGATGGGCAATCTCTTCTGGAGCTATTCACAGCCTCTAAAAACCTACTGGAGGGTCAGCTAAGGGCATGTTCCAACCCAAAGGCACATGACCACCACAACAGGTGCTTAATGGGATCTCTGAATGGCATAAAGGATTATTCCAACCACAGCTAGCTAAAAGGTTAGCAGTTTGAACATACTCAGAGGTCCTTTGGAAGACATTCGAAGACATTCTTGGTGATCTGTTTCTGAAAATCACAGCCCTGAACATTTTACAGAATACTTCTGCCTTGACACATATGAGGTCACTCTAAGTCAGAATTGATAGCAACTAACAAGCAATTAAATTGGTATTAGTAGTCTTAATTGACATCACTTTGTTGAGTTAATGTAAGAATAAATTTTCTCAAGGATAATTCCTAGCAGTTTCCAAGAGGGGAAGATGTTAGGTACTGAGGATTGACAAAGGACTAAGATAGGTCTCCTGGCCCTGAGGAAACTTTAGTGTTGGCTCTACTTGTGTTGGTAGCTACCCACATTTTGAAGGCAGAGAGCAACTGCAATACCAACCTTGATGATGCTCTCCTTAAATCTGAATGGTCAACATCATACAGTGGAAAGAGGACAAATTTGGAACTAGGAGATGTGTATTCTAACCTAGCTACGAGGCGTTAGTTTTCTATGGGTAATTATTAGATCCCGTAGGAGCTGTGCTGCTAACTCAAAAGTAGGTGGTTCGAATTCACCAGCTGCTCCACAGGAGACTGTCAATTTCCTCCTATGTGACTTGCAGTTTCTAAAAATTGGCAGACATTTTCATTGAACATTCTGTAAAAAAATTGAAATTATTGAAAATTCTATGAGATGTATTGCAATTTCATTGAACATTCTATGAGTTGTTTTCATATCACCAGCAATGAGTTCGCATTTTATAGGTAACTAAAGGAGCTCTGGTGGCCTAGTCCATAGTCAGCACTGCTGACTCAAAGATAACAAGAGCCCCTCTGGCAGATTGAAACCACCAGGGACTCCACAGGGAGAAATATGGACAATCTCCTCCGTTGGATTTACAACCTCCCAAAATCTGATTGTGAATCAGCTATGAGTTAGTTCCAATTCCATTGCAGTGAGTTTGCGTATGATAGTAGGTAACTAAAGATCCCTGGTGGTGCAGTGATTAAGCACTCCACTTCTCTCCCAAAGGGCAGCGATAGAAAGCTACTCCAATGGATAGAAATATGGCAGTCTGCCTCTGTCAGTATTACAGTGTGCGAAACCCTAGGAGGCAGTTCTACTCTGTTCTGTAGAGTAGCTTTGGGTGGACAGTGACTACTGGGCAGCAGTGGATTTGGTTTGGGTATAGTTAACTAGCTGAGACCTCAGGATTGTTACCGCAAAAAATAAGGTAGTTGCACCATGGAGATCCTAAGGCCCAAGAGCAGGGTCTCTTGAAGCTGAGTTTGCTCAGTAGGTCTACCTTTTTGTTTTTAGTGGAAGGGAAGGATTAGGGAGTACTATTTAAAAGGATGTCAGTCGCCTGACATCTCACTTTTGAAAGGTAGAAAACTTTGGGAAACCTTGGTCCTCACAGTCACTGGGAAAATGCTGTGTGCAAAATTGTTTTTTTACGTGGGATTTCCCCAGTCCTACCAAGGCAACTTTGACTTCATGAGATCAGTTCTTGGGACAGACACGGCCTTGTCCCTCTCCATCGTCAAAGCAAGCCCAGTGGGAGAGATGGCTTTCAGAGAGGCTAGAAGGATGTTAAGTCAACTAGTTTGTTTAGGCATTAGTTTCTCTGGAGGTGAGGAAGTGTGTGTGGGGGCGCCGGTCAGCTTCCTCCGTCCGACCCTCACAAAGGGCCAGGACCAGACACGTGGGCTGGTGAGTGGAGGCGGAGGTTACATTAAGGCGGAGATGCAAATAAACAGGGGCGGGGCACAATTTGCATAGACGACGCGCGGCCGCCAATCCGGACACTCGGGGCCACAGCCCGCGCGCCTTTTGGGGGCGGACTGACAGCCCCGGGGCCCTATGGAAGACGGGTCCTGCGGCCGGCGGGGGCGGGACGGCACCCGCAGCTGCCCGGGGGATTGGGGCCGGTTCGTGGGTGCTGCCAGTCTCGGGCGGCGGCGTCCGGCGCGCGGGCGGGTGTCCTACTGAGCGGGTTGGAGAGCGTGCGGCGCGCGGGTGAGGAAGAGAGAGAGACGGAGTCGGCGAGCAACCACGGCGACAGGTACCAGGACCGCGGCCGCAGGGATGGGGCGGGCGGAAACGCGGTGGCCGATTTCTCTCTTTCGCGGTCCCAGCGCGGCCGCACCACTTCCCCGCCCCCTCATGGGGGTCCTCAGCTCGGGAGCGGCTGGTGGCGCGAGCGGCGTCTCAGGGGTGGGGGAAGCCTCGAGGTGAGGGTGCGGCCGCGTCCGGCGCCCCCGCGGACCCCGTTCGCCCCGCCTCAGCGGGGGTCCCGGCGCCTCAGCCAAACCGCGAGGCCGGTGCTCGCTCCGGGAGGCGCGCTGGCCCGGCGGCTGCGGGAGCCGCTCCCCGCCCCCGCCGCGCGCCCCCTCGCGCACGGGAGGCAGGTCGCGCCCGCGGGTCCTCACCCGGCTTTTGTTTCCCGCCCGGGCTGACAGGTCCCGGCTCCCGCTCCTGTGGGCGATCCCCGATTCGCCAGCGACCCGGCGGGGCCCGTGACCGCGGAGCGGCGCCGCGGCCGCCCAGAGGAGGCGGCGGGATCCTCGCAGAGCCGGGAAGGAGCGTGAGTAACCGCCGCAGCCAGCGAGCGAGAGCGAGAAAACTTCGCCTTCGGGGCCGGGGCGGCGGGAGAAGTGGAGGCCGGGGTTGAGCAATGCGCCGGGACAGTCGGCGGGCACGATCGAGACTTCCTCACCTGGTGGGCCCCCTGGAGGGTGAGAATAACGGAGTGTCCCCACTGCTGCCTTCTCTTTCGGTTCTCGCTGTCCCCGGTGGAGCCCGCCCGCTGGGTGTGGATGGGCGTGCACCACCTTCACCTGCGCCCCGGGAGTGGTGACTGGAACCAGCATCCCTGCTCCACCCGCCACTTGTTGAAAGGGGGGCGGCAGCAGCGCTCTGTAACAAGTGCTTTCACTAAGCTCTGCGGCTGCTAACCGAGAGGTTGACGGTTCAAACCTCACCGCCTCTGCGGAGAGACCAGGGAAGCGGGAATCCGGCACTTTAAACACTACAGGCTAGGGGAGCTCTGACGGGCTCTTAGTTTGCTTTGTTTTTAAAATTCTACAGCCTTAGATAACCAGCTCTGTCATATGGGGGTCAGTAATGAGTGTAAATCGACTCAGCAAGCCACCTAACCAAAAAACAGCGAGACGCTCAGACGAAAACGGATGCAGAGTCGTGGATCAGGACCCCCCTTTACCCTTTGCTCTTACGTCTTGGCCCCAACACCTTTCTACTTTATTCTTTCTGCTTTCTTCTTTCTACTTCTAAAGATGTTCAAGCACAAGTCTGCGTTCAAAACCAACATTGATTGACAAAAACAAAGACACAGAGAATTTGAGGGTCAGAACAGAATTGTCAGGAGGGACACTTTCCTTCCAGTGTCAGAAATCGGTTTCTGCACTTTGTGGCACAAGCACGGTAAAGGGACCAGCAAGTTGTAAGTGGAGAATGCAGAGCTCTAGCTAGCCTCCAGTGTGCTTCGGGACAGTGTGTACAGCGCTTGGCCGCCATTCAGTAAATTTTGCATGAAGCATTTTGAGCTCGTGGTTTTGGATTGACTTTTCAGGAGTATATGTTCTAGTGGAATAAAGTTTAGCACTGAATGAGAGCTTTCTCTGCCTCTCTTGAGTCTATACTCTGAGTCTACAGGAGTTTGTGTTTCTTTTTTAATTGTTTTACATTCTGTTAGATGCAGCCCAGAGAAGAATTAAGGTTTCATTTTATGTGTTTTTTTTAAGTCTTTGGGAGTTCTATTCCCATTCCCCCTACCCCCATGAGATTTTAAAAAAAAAAAAAATTTAATTTTTTAAACTGAGGACTTTAGTAACTGCTAAAACATTCAAACTTGTGTTTGAATGAAAATTCAAGGACAGATGTAAAACAATTCTTTATTCTGGTGAGACTTCTTTTCCCTCTCTCTTGCATTCTTTCAGTTAGGGTTTTTTGTGTGTTTCTTTCACAACTTTTCTGCCTAACAGTCTACAATTATGGTCCTCACCGATTTAAGCCATCTACAGAAATAATACGAGAACCCGGTAGGACAGTGGTTCTCACAAGGTTGGCTGCTAACCAAAAGGTCAGTGGTTTGAAGCCACCAGCTACTATATGGCCGAAAGACGTGACATTCTGTTTCTGTAAAGATTTACAGCCTTAGAAAGCCTATAAGGCAAATCTCTGTCTTGCAGGATCACTATGAGTCAGAACTGGCTCCATGTCAGTGGTTGTTTTGTTTTTAAATAGAAATAATGTATTTTTAAAACTTGGGGTATTAATAGTACTCATTACTCTTTAGAAACACTTGACTTTATTGAGTTCTTTCTTTTAATGTCTCTTCTTTTTGACATCGCATTGGGTAAATTTTACAGCCAGAGATACTTCAGACAAGTAAGTTTAACTTTTTAAGAACAAAATTACTAATTTTGATTTAGATTAATAATGCTACTTTGTTACTGCTTCACTGAATGGTAATTTTAATTATTTACCAAGTATCACTGAAAGGTGACCATATAAACTAATAGGTTAGTTGTGAATATTTGACATTTAAAAATATATATCAAAGATAGTCTTTAAAATGCTTTATTAATTAAAACATCAGACCAATAGATTATAAAGGTCTTTGTCTTTTCCAGCATTTTAGTTAAAAGGACTTCTTTTTAAAAACAATTTTAATCAATTCCAGGTGAAAAATTTAAAATATTAGATTAATTTTTTTTTGTTTATTTTGAGGGGTATTTTTACTGGTTTCCTAAGAATTTTTCAGCATAGGATAAATTAGTCCAGAGAAGAGAGGACATCCTATCCTTCTATACCTGTAAAAGAAACTGTTGCTTTTAGAAGCATAATTGGCCGTTTCATTTTAGTGAGAATACAATGATTGAATAGTGACTTCTCTTAATAGGAGACTTATTTATATAAAATAAGGGTCTATTTTATATAAATAATTGCAAGGAAACTTGTAAAATAAGGATTATAATGACTAAGTTGCATAGCTATTTTAAATGTGTAGGGATTTGTTACTATGTATAGCAGAAGTTATCATTATCCATGAAGATGAATGCTTAACTATAGTAGATAATTTTGCATTTTGTATAATTATTATCACAAAATCATGTTTTAGATTATTTATATGGGGGGAAAGTGCCTTTTAATCAAGTCCCCTTTTTAAAGTTCAGATTTTAAAATTTTTAATTACTGAATGTTGTCCACTTTAATTTATGGTATAACAACATATTATAAAATTAACAACCCCATTATCTGTTTCAAAATTAAGTTTACGTTGAAGTCTCATATCTACACAGTAAACATTGGGAGTGTCTTAAAAGTCAGCTTCCCTTATATTTGTTTCTTTTTGAGTTAGAAATTTGAATAATTTTGAATCATTTGAATAATTTTAGCTATAAAATTTGTATTTAAAACAACTAAAGTAAAGGAAAATAAAATGATACTGTTAAGCTATTAATACTTTCTAAAAACAATGCTCATGTTGTACAAGCATTATGAGTATCCCCTTTAAATTTCTACTGTAATTTTCTGTGATTATTAAGGAAGAATTGATATTCTATACATACTCTATGCCAAGAAGTCAAGTACATTTTATACTTCTGAAATGATTTGAATATTGATGATTAGTACTCTGTTTTTCAACATTGTATATTGCCAACTTTTTATAATATGTTTACTGTATCTTTGATTTCTGACATTATATCCCCAAAATATAAAGAAAATTAGATGGTTTTTGCCTCAGAAACTTGGAGTATGTAAGTTACATAACCATTGTTTAAAAGCAATAGCCACTTAGGTATAGTTTAATTTGTGACTAGGATGTTTAATTACAAAAGTTTAGGGCAATTTTGTCAAAAGAAACAGAGTACATTAAAATAGAAATGTGTGTACCCTTATAATTGTAATCGTTGTAGCTAATAGGTGACTAAAGATGATTTAGCAATGTTGAAAACTCTCTATTCCCAGTAGTGAAAATAATTAATAGCTCTTAAAATTTGTTCTGGTGTTATAGTTAATATATTAACATTCAATCAATTCTGCATTAAAAATTGTTGTTATTGTTATGTACTGTCAAGTTACAATTGACTCATAGCATTAAAATTAGAGAACACTAAAATTCCAGTTCTGTGAAAAATAAATCTTATAGTTTGGTCAACTCTGCATTCAGCTGCAATTTAAGCATACGAGTCTCAATCCTTAAATCAGGGAGGACTTTTTTATGCTTAAGACTTCTAGCATTTTTAAAAACATTTGGTTAAAGATAGCAAAGGCCCACAAAAGGAAGTATAGGAATCTACACATTAGATGTCCCTGCTTTCTACCCTTGTCCTGCTAGAGTAGTATTTTAGAAATAAAATTTTGTTTTGATTTTCTTAAAACAAGCAGGCAAAAATTTTGTAAAGTTGGAGCATGTTTGTCTCTCCTGTCATCTTTTTGCATATTTTGTATATTTACATAAAGCTGTTTTTCTAGTTTTGAAAAGATATTTAAAAAGTAAAACTGTATTTTCAGAGTGAAATAATGGAATTTCAATAACAGACATTTGTAGAAGTTAGAGAATATCTAGATTTTTGGGTTAAGATTTATACTAAGTAGGGAATATTTAAAAATTACATTTGAAAAATAATCAGATGCTAGGGTTTTAAGATTGAGAGTGTACATTTGAATTGTATATTTTTAAAATGTTTTTGGAGGAGGAATAAGAGATGAAGAAAATGTAAAAAAAATAGGTTGTCCTCTCCTTTATAATTGCAAACCCTTTGTTAAGATGACAGTGGTAAATTTCTAGAATGATTTGCAATAACAGTCTTCCTTAGTCTTGGCACTTTCTAGATAATAAATTAAGAGTCTACACCTAATCATCTGAAATGGTCAGGTGGTTATGTTAAAAGCAGAATTAAAAATTTTGGATTTATCTCAAACTATCAGATATGCATTTCTCATTCCTATCTTTGAAAATTAAGGAGCCTCCTTTTTTTATCAGCTGGAAATTACAGTGGAATTTGAAAGTCAAAATGTCTGTATCATAGAGTGAGG